ACATGGTAAAAACAAAATTAACTTAAACATTAAATATTTAGTTAATAACACTATGGTTGCAAAGCTAAACACTCAGAAGCTAGGAACCATCAGAAATAAGGTTGCCTGTGAAACATTAATTCAGATTCCTTGTGCAGATGCATCCATCTTTAATTTACATGATCAAAACTGGGGTTGTTTCTTACAGAATCACTGCCTCATTCAGCACATAGAGTGAAATAACAGTTAGGTTTTTAACCTTTTAAATTAAGTTTATTTTTCACTGGTCATGAACTAGTATTTCTTTTGTATTTTGTTCAGCTGCTCAGGCTGACTTTTTTCCTTTCTGGTTCTCGGGTAATTGAGTGGTAAACATAGCATAAGGATGCTTAAATAAACGAATCTGCAGTTAAACCTTTTCTGAAAACTCTTGTGTTCAACAGTAAGTATTTAACAAAATTTCTTTTTCAAAATCTAATTTTGGAGCTTATGTTTTGAGGACCCAATGGCGCTCTCAAGCTAGACAATGATAATGCTGCTTAAAATCTAGACAATGGCACCATTTTAATAAGGCCACTGAAAGATTTGTGAAATAACAGAATCTGATTTTAAGAGAACCATAATTCATATTTTTGGAAACACTATACTAAATACCTAGAGACAAAATGCATTGGTGGTTAGAACAGAGGCTATAACTTAATGGACTTGTCTTCTTTCTTCCTGTATCAGTCTTATAACTTCTTCATGCTGTAATTTTGCCTAATTGTAAATAACTCAACCTCTGTAAAATAATTTGAGATATTTTGATTAGAAGTGCTATGTAAGTGCCAAGTATTGATAATGTATCCGGATAGAAAAATAACCACAATGCTGTTTTAACTGAAGTCTTTTGGTAGTGCTTTTGTAACATTTTGGTGAAAAACAAGTGGGATACTATCATATTCAAATTCCTCTACTCTTTAGACCATGTTGGACTTTTACTACCAGTATGATGCATTACAGCACTTTGTTAACCTTCATCACAAACACAAGGTGATTTGGGGGTTTAGTTCTGCAAGGACCGTATGTATTATTGGCATAGCTGACAGTTTTTGATTAAATCAGATAGTAAAGCATGTGTTTTACATTGGTTTTGAGGTGGGCAGAGGCATGGATAATATATAAAGAACATACTTTGCAAATATCTATCAACTGATTCAGATTTTGAGCCTACAATTTTGAATGGACTAATTTTTAAATTATAAAACTGATTTGAGTGCTTAAATTATTCAGAATATTTTAAAACTCTTATTTTGCCAGCAGAATCATTTTATATATATATATATATATAGGAGAGAACAGGGTCTGAGTGGGCTGGAGGGAATGGCGAGAACAGGCCCTGAGTGGGCTGGGAGGCAGCCTCGGGGTGGGAGAGACCAGGCCTCTAGCTCCCAGCCTTCTGCCAGGCAACGCTGGACAAATCTGTTAATTCTAAATATAATCTCTCTCAATCTCTGTTTGTGTGCATGTAGGTCTGTAAAGTTTGTAAAGTTATTCACCATCATATATATAGTAGCCCAGTGTCTCTGAGTCTGTAATGCTGAAATGCTGGCTGTTCCCTCTGGAGGGCGCTGTTGCTGAAATGCTGGCTGTTCCCTCTGGGAGGCCCATGCTGCATGGGAAGTGCGGGGCCCAAATGGCCATTTGGGCTCCGTGGTCCCCCGAGTAAGAGGCAGGAGGGGGAAGAGAAGTGAAAGAGAGAGACAGAGATAGAGGCAGGAGGCGGCGGAGAGCTGGGGGCGGGGGGTAGGGAGGAAGTACTAGGAAGAGAGAGGTAGAGAGAGAGAGACAGAGCGAGAGACCGGAGGCTCAGAAGAGAAGACAGACGTGGAGGAGAGACCTGAAAATCCCGTCTTATGACAGGCTAATTGGCTAGTTATTGCATATTAATAACCCTAACCCTAACTTGCACCTTCCCTTACCCCTTCACCCTCCTGGTGCCTCCCCCTACCCCCTCACTGTCCCTGCCCCTTTGCCCTTTTTTCCCTGATGCCCATCCCCTCACCATCCTCTGCCCCCATTCCCCTCATGCCCTTCTGCCCTCACACATGACTTGCTCCAACCCCACCTTCCTCATGCCTCCCCCTTCTGTCAAGTTTTCTCCAGCACCTCCCCCTCCAATCCCCAATGCCCTTACCCTCTCCTCTTCCAGCATCACCCTGTCCCCCCTCCCACTGACACCTCCCCTCCTGCCCTTTTCCTCATTGTCTCCACTTCCCCCCTAGCATTTGTGTCTCCTCTATTCCCTCCCTCTCTGTTCAAGCCCCTTCCACCTCTTCCCCTTTCTTCCTCCTCCATCCTCCCTCACCACAAAAGCCCCTTCTTCTCTCACCCCTTTCTCTTATTTCCCCCCCCCTCCCCCACCTTCAGCTTCTGCCTTACATCTTGCAGGGCTGGAGTCAGAGCCAGCCCAAGCTGCAAGGATGGGTGGGGGTGCCCCCAGGGTGCCGCACGGTGCTGCAGGGCCAGGTGTTGCTGGGACACGCTCGGGCGCCCCCGGGGCACCGCACGGTGCTGCAGGGCCGGGTGCCGCGTGGTGCTGCCGGGACAGGCGGGTGCTGTCTGTAGTCGAGCCCTAGCTGCTTTTGGAGCTGGGCCACTGGGTTTTAAAATTCCTGGCGTTTCCCCTTTCACCTGTTGCGCGGCGTTTGAGGATGCTGCGCATGCGCTCTCTGCTCCACAGTGCCCAGTAGATGGCTGCAGGGAATTTAACGCCGAGGGGCTGTGGCACTCCATCACAAATTCCCCTCTTCCTCCAGCAGCTGCTGGCTGGCCCCAGACATTAGGGTGCCCCGGCACACCCTGTGCGCATGCCTATGATTACACGTTTACCATTGGTTACATGTTTACCAATCACATACGTGATTATTAACATCCCTAGTGTAATTGCCCTCTCTAGGTGGAAGTTTAAGTGTTTTACATGTAAGATATTATCTTTAAGTATTGCTATATACATTGCTACTTTTGTCTCTGATATGTGATTGTTTAATTACAGAAGTTGCTGGGTGTGTTTTGCCACCGATGAAGATGATCGAACAGCCGAGTGGGTGAGACCTTGCAGGTGTAGAGGTTCTACAAAATGGGTTCACCAGACTTGTCTACAGCGTTGGGTGGATGAAAAACAAAGAGGAAACAGTACAGCTCGAGTTGCATGTCCTCAGTGCAATGCAGAATACTTAATAGTATTTCCAAAGCTAGGTAAGAGATGTACAGTTAAATTCAAATACAGTTTAATTTATTCAGAAGTATCTAATTTCTGTTTGGTGTGTAAACTTCTGTGTTGTGAAACACACCAAGACATGTGAATTCATCATTTTAATTGTTGGTGTTCTTTGGAAAATGAATGCGGAAATTTGCAATTAGTGCATTTATCCTGGTTCAGTTCACTGTATCCTGGAAACTTTGGACAACTTCTCCCCTGTAGCAGATACCAATAACTCACTTACAATAATGCTCCAGAATGGTTTTCCAGACCATAGGTTAGACTGCTTTTAGTTAGCTGAGAGAGAAAAGCAAACCTGCCTGTAGATTTGTAACAATGTCCCTAATGTTACCTGAAAATACTTCTGTATTTAATTTGTATAGGACACCGGGACTACTGCTCTGTACCAGAGATAACAGTATTGTAGTTGTGTTATCAGTAGTCAAAAAAGAAATAGGGGAGAGGTATATTGTTGCAACTTCTTTTCACATGAGTTGCCAAAATGCTGCTCACAATAGATTTTCTTCTGTGGGGCTACAGTATTTACCTGGTCTCTGTTAGGCTTCTCTTTGATTGGGAGTGATGGGGTGATATCTCCAAACTCCACTATCTTGTGGCACAAAAATTGTGCCATTCTTTGATCCTCTTCCTTCCTGACATGAAAGATGGAACAGTTATCAGTATTGGCATTTAAATTGTCACTAGGTATCAGGGATGTTAAGAAGCGGGTATTTAACTCATTGAGTAGTGAATAGAATTGTTATCGACTACTCAATTGATTAGTCAATAGGCAGCCGTCTCAGTCCTGGCTTATGCTGGGTCCGGGACCAAATCCTGCTGTGGTTCTGCAATTTAAAAGGCAGTAGAAGCCGAGCAGCCTGCTTCAAGGCATCAACCCCTCTCCTGCTCGCCCTGCTGCTTCCTCTGATAGGGTGGGGCAGGCGGCACTGTAGAGATGGTGCTGGGGGAAAATGGCTTTTAAGCCGGCTCCTCCTTCCCCTGCTGATATAGAGGCAGCAAGGGGAGGGGGAAGGTGAGTAGTCCACTCAACTAGTCAACTACTCCCTTGCATTCCTACTAGATATCAGAGTTGACTTTTCACTAAGAAGAAGGGGTAGTTTACATCTCAATGCTTTTTGTTTCAGACTCTCTAGAGTCACATCTGCATGAATTTCTCAATTTGCATTTTTGAGATTTTCTTCACAACCATGATAGCTAGATACTTAATTTTTGTTTAAAAATCAGTATTGCTAGCACTTGTGAATTAATCATGAATCAGTATCTTGGTGCCTGCAAGGGGATTTGTTGGTATGACATGAGAGACAAATTTTTTCCCATGATTCTTCCACACCACAAAATGTCAGCGCATGGGTCAACTAATTTGGGCTTATGAGTCACTGCCATGAGGCTAAATACAGCAGTGTAGATGTTTGGGCTCATCTGGATCCTGGGCTCTGAAACTTGGCAAATAGCCACGCTGCTGTTTTTAGCTCTGTAGGCCTGAATCATTTGACCTGGGCTCTGAGACTCTGTACTGCACATCTTTTGTTGCATTGTAGACTACTCTGTTGTAACTGAGAACTTGGCTTTGGCCTTGGCACTTAGCTCTGCCTTTATACATGGATTAGGGATGTAAAATTCCATTTAATCAGTTAAACATTACATTTAACTGGTTAACCACTTAAACAGGATCCTATGAGTGGGGCCTGTTGGCCTTCGATGGGCTCGAGCCTGCTGTGCTGTGATTGGGCCGACAATAGGGGTGATGTTTACCAGTTGACTACTGCATCACTAGCAGAAATTAGCCCTATCTCAGTAGTTGTGAGAGAGGTTTCTGGAGCAGTGGGAGTCTAGGGTGGAGTAGAATCAGAGAGAAATTGCTGCTTCCTTGACTCACTGAAGTCCTTTGCCTAGAACCCAACAGCTGCTCATTCCAGAGGAGTTGGGGAAGTCCTGCAGCTGCAGTCCTGAGCAGGGAATCAGCCCCTAACACAGTATAATTGGAAGGATAATTAAAATACAAATTATTTTTAGCTACTTAAATACTTGAGATTTTTTTAAAGAACTAAAAGATACTGCAGTTGATTAACATACAGGCAGTCCCCGGGTTACGTACAAGATAGGGACTATAGGTTTGTTCTTAAGTTGAATTTGTATGTAAGTCGGAACTGGCTCCAGATTCAGCTGCTGCTGAAACTGATCAGCGGCTGACTACAGGAAGCCCTAGGCAGAATTGCTCTGCCCCCGGCTTCCTGGAATCAGCCGCTGATCAGTTTCAACAGCGTCTGAATCTGGACTCCTGGAACAGAACAGCTGGGGCACTGCCGGGTAGGTCCCCACAGGACCAACCCGGCAGCACCCCAACTGCTCTACCCCCGGCGTC